GTGTGTCGTATTTCGCACATTTAAATTAATATGCGGCTCTCTGGTACTTTTGTTATCCTATTTTCATGACAATTTGGCTCTTCTCACTTGACAAACTGCCGACCCCTGGGCTAGGGGATTGATTGAGGGGTCGATGCTGCTAGGAGGTCGATTGAGGGGTCGATGCGGCTAAGGGGTCACAACGTTTTTTTTTTTTTATTTTGCTCATACACATACACTTGTAATAAAACTTTACGGTGGGGGTCAATGTGAGGCTTTGGAAAGTGGTTGGGGGTCGACGGTTAAAAAAGTTTGGCGACTCCTGATCTATAGGAATTGTAATATTTTGAACCATTATAAGTTTTAAAATTTTCTATAGCTTGCTATAAAGTTTTCCTGGGTCATAACTCAATTGAATCTATATAGATATTCTTTAGTTCTTCGTCTGAATTATCTCCATAACATTATGAAAAAAACAGTCCTTTTCCAAAAATGTATGGGCTAATACATATACATTGTTATCTATGATCTATGAAAATTTTATTAATTACTTTTGCAGCAAAAGTTTTTTTATAACATTACTTTTGTAGTGTTCAAAATGACTTACAACAACTTGGGATCACTGGAGTCACGCAAGCAGCCAAAGACAATTTCATATGGCTATCACAGACTATCACCTTTTAGCAAATTTTCTGGACCCAATATACCAGAGTACAAAGCTCAAAGACAGTATGAACAAGACCGGATTAACTCACTTTAGGGCCCTAGACACTTTCTTTTTACTGGGCCCCCTCCCTCTCCCACAAGAAATAGAGCACACAAAAAATATAAAACAATAAATAAACCAAAACTAAATAATGTGAAAAACTAAAACAAACCTTAATTTTTTATTAATAAAAAATATTTAATCACTGTAAAAAAAAAATCTAAATTACCAGAAGAATCTTATTTACAAATCTTTTCAAAATAGATGGTTTGACTAGGATCTTCTAAAAACTGGGCCCTAAACATTTGTCTCATTTGTCTATGCAATGATCCGGCCTTGAGTATGAAGGACGCTGCACTAACTCTGCCATGCTTACTACCGCTAGTCTGTTTTAAAATACTTACACATTTTAAACAGACATTATGCCTTCAGTTTTAAAATACTTGGCAAAACCTAGCCCATTTCTGCAACACATGTTTGCAGAGTCTGTGTTAACTAATATCACTCCTCTTACATGGTGGCAGTCATTATGTGACAGAATTGAACCTATTTTAAAATTAGTTACACAGCTGCACACAGCAGTGGTTTCTTCAGCAGGAATTGAAAGAATTTTCTCTACCTATGGACATGTTCATTTAAAACTTAGAAATTGACAGCAAAGCTTGTTAAAGTTTTCAAGCACCTAAACAAACACTACTAAGCATTGTACAGTACATTTCTGAAAATAAGAAATTCTTCAAGCTGCAGAAGCCACTACTGTCAATCCTGTTTTGGTATTTGTACATGCAAATATTAAAAATGCCATTGCATAAAGAAACATTTAAAAATGCTATATTTTATATTAAATAAAACATTCTGTACATTCTTGAGTCATACACTGAAGTTTTTGTTTTTTTACTTTCTTTTTCTATTTTACTAGATCAAATGTTTTATTTCCAAAAAAAAACCATGTTTTAAATGTTTTAAAACATTTGTTTTATAAAAATGTTTTAAATCCGATGCCTATGTTTTAAAACATGTTTTTTTTTCTAAATCATGCCAACCCTGTCTGCAACTAAAGCAGACTCCTTTGGAAGAATTCAATTGTTTCAAATAAATGGGGTTTACAGAATCACTATTTTGGAATAATGTTGAACAATCTTTAATGTATTTGAAAGAAGAGTGTATGCATAGATGATTCAAAATGTTTTGATCAGTTTTATAATTTGAAGACTTTTATCACAAGTGTGAATGTAAAAACTTCAGGGCAATGTTAGCTCACCAAAAATGGATGATTTACTTTAAAGAGACAGGAAATATTGAAATGTTTTCAGAACAAACATTGCACAATTCTTTTTCACAATACTCTCATATAATGGGAATGTTGAAATAATTTTTCTATGATACAATGTCAGTGGAGAAAGGTCAGGAATAGTTTGAATCTCTGATCACCCAATACAATTTTCATCAATAGTCATGCAGGGAGTTCTATAGTTATTTGATATTTAAACCTGATTTATTAAAGAAAATTAAATCTAATGAAAAGTACTTGTAACTTGTATTTGCAAATTCAATGTTCTTACAGTTTTAAAAAAAGAATACTTTAGAACATTTATTATGTTACTTTTCTGTAATTACATTGTCACTTACAATATGATCTGATGTTCTTTTTCTCTCGCAACCCTACATGCTGTTAGCACAACTGACCAATCAGAACTTGAAGACTCTAAAATTTTAGAGAATCCAATGTACATTGTGTTCTACTTTGTGAAATTAAAAATATTCTTTCACAAACTTGTTCTACATTCAAAAGACTTAAACCTGATAATGATAGCTTAAGACTGCTGAAAATATTTATTTCAACCCTTTAAACATTCTATTTTGTGCTAGAGTTTGGGTGTATTATGTAAGTTTATTACGTATAATACACACTCAGTAAACTGGATCACAAATATAAATATCATTCACAGAATCAAAAGTTCAGCATGGAGAACAAAGTTCAGTTTCTGAAATATTCTTTTAACCTGATGATGGTTACTCAAAGCAATTATAAATAGGATTACCATACATCCATATTTAGTATGGACAGTCCATTACTTTAAAAGCTGTTAGTGTCCACACTATACTTAGAAAAAAATATAATAAATAACTGAAAATAATATATAAAACTGTGTAGTAACCTAATAAAATATAATTTTTTTTAAAACTAAGCCTTTAACAATATGATTTATTCACAGTAAAAACAAAAAGAAAAGTTTCAAAAATGTATTTGAATTACTATATTATTTTAAGTAGTAATAAATTACTTATAAATTTAATGAAACATCATGTTTTTAAATAACACATTACTTTATTATAATGTATTACAATTAATTATAAACTAATTATGATGCATTTTTAAAATAATTTATTTTATTATGATTCAAACTGCAGTCAGTTAAACTATTCTGGATTCATAAATTTAAAAGTAAAAATATGAATTTCATGTTGTTTCACCTGACTATTTTGCAATATTATTGTTATTTAAACAATTGTAGCAATTTATAAATATTTAGTAATTTATATTTTTATTATAGGTATCAAATATCAGTACAGAGCTCTCAACCATCTGCCTTTTGTATGACTAATTTGTAATTAACTTTTTAATTAAGGATGCTGTTCCATGTCTACTGTGTTCAGCATTTGTCCATTGATGCTTCCAATTATCAGTCTTTAAAAGCACCGTTGCATTTCACACTTTGTTTTAATAATAAAATTTTTTCAAATTTTATGACGGAATTCAATAATTTTCTTTTAAAAAATATTAGATTTTTTACTTACATTTGATGATCAGCCTCTAAATGTCTTTAAGAGCTCAAAACATATAAAAATATGTCAAGTCTCACTACAAATTATACAAAATGATAGATGGTTGCCACTAATTTTCTTAATAAGAAAATCTATATTTTAAAAATTCTGCAACATATTTCCTTTTTTTCTTACAATTGCTTTTCTTTTGGATAATTTGTTTTTTTCATGTTAGAATAACATTGTTAATAAATACATACAATCTGCTATTCCCTTCTTTTTTGTTGATTGTCTATCTTCTTCAATTGAGTGTTGTCTATATTTTTAAAGATATTTTTAAGCAGAAGAAAAATATTTGTACAGAAATGTATTTTATTCTTGGACTTGTGATTGGCTTGGAAAGAACAAAATACAGAAATGTCTGAATTATTGAGTGTTTTCAACAAAATGTAGTACAAGAGGAGAGGTTTGTTAATCCCCCATCAGAAACTGATTTTCAGGAAAATTTTATTTCTCTCTCTTTCAATCAAATATTGTTATGATTATGCAATAATGATGCCCAGAACTGAACAAATCTGATTTGTAAAATGTGTTATGTTTTGGCATAACTCACATATCTTGTTTATGGGCAAGAAGGGTATGAGAAAAGACTATATGGAGATGGAAAGACTTACTACGGACATAACACTTGTAAAAAAAGGTTTTGTGGATTGTTACTATATGGAGAGATGAGTAAGGTAAAAACCCACATGGTTATAATTATTTTAATAAATTAAATGAATTTAAAAAAGTAAAAATACTATAAATATAGTTAAGTCCACTTAAGAGATCACCCTTGGTCACTGCTTGAAGCTTCCTTATCTAGATAGATTATTGACTTATCTGAAGGAACAAGATCACTCAAGGCAATGTTAATGGTATTCAATTCTTTTCATGTCTTAGGAGCTCTGTGTAACTTATTCAGAACCCAAAGGGGGATAAGTCAAGAATTTAAAATATTTAGATAATTAATAAGGATCATTTATTAACATGTGTGCAATGACTGTATTGCAGATGATTCAATAAACCATATTTGTCATCATAAATATTATTAAAAACAATGTTTTGAAATTTGAACAAGTAAAGTTTGATTTTTTTTCATGTCAATAGGGAGGGCTTAAGTCCCTATAATAATCACTAAATATAGTATATTAACTGTCATATTACTTTCACTTCTTTCCAGAAATACAGTAGGTGAAAAGATGTGAACATCCTTGCAAGCTAATAGGACAGTATCACCTAAAAAACCATGTGATCTCTGAAATCTGGTTACATATGATCAGCACTGTTTGTTCATACTGTATATATTTTATAATACTGCTTTTATATGTAATTTCTTTTCATATATGTGTCCAATAAAATCTATTGTAAGAAATGTTTTGACTATCCACATATTAGAAAACTGACCAATGGAAGGTTTCACCAAAAGCTTATACCATAATGTCATGCTCCTGGGTGGTGGTGTACTGTATCAAAAGAGTAATAGATCCTTTCAAATCTTAGAATAGTTCTCCCTTATGCAGATTGCTACTCTAAAAATGCTGCTTGTTTAAATAGACAATTTTATTATCTTGGATGGGCAATCTTTTTCTTTGTAAGGACTGCATTTAAAAACTTAAACTGACACAGGCCACAGGCCCCACACACACAAGAAAAAAAGTTGGTAAATCACAATTATTTATTCATACATAATTATAAATTAGCATAGGTATACTTAAATTAGCTTCTAGAAGAGATGTAAATGTAATATATCAGAAATATTTGGTTAAATATTAGTCACTGCTAATTTTAAATTAGTTTTGATGTGTCTGTTAGCCAGTTTTTTGTTTTAATTTTTACTAAATTTATTGTGGAAAAACTATTCACATACATAAGTTGTAAAAATAATATTTGCATTTTTGCTGAATACTTCCTTAAGCTGGGAAACTGATACATTTACAGTATTCATATTTTATGCGACGCAGGCCATGGGTAGCCCATCCATGTATTATCTGATGATCTGTTAACAGGAATCTACTAACATAAAACATAGGGGAGAATTTCAGGAACAAGGAAATGCTCTGTTAAGTGGACTGTATATATAAAATAAACATATTTGAATTAATACTTCACTGAATCTTCTACCAAACTAACAAACATTTTCTTTATAACAGTATTACTCATCAGTTATGTAATTATTAAAAATTGAGTCTAGTATTTTAATTAATTGAAGATCACATATATGTGAAAAATTGGGCCAAAATATCATTTGCATTTGCTCATAAGTTTTTTTATTAGAAGAAAAATATTTGGCCTAGGACTTTTACATTTTGAATGGAAAAACTAGACTGGAGGCTGTAGTTTGGACATCACTGATTTAATGGATAAATATAAATCCCAAACATATATAAATGTTGTATTTTATAATTTTAATGTATTGTATCTATTACCAATTTCATATTCTGTAATGATATGTTTCTGTAATAAATAATGTTTGATATAAGCTTTGTATTATAGATTTCATGAAATTTTCATGTAAACTGAATATTTTGTATTTAATGTGAAATTATAAACATTATTTTCTAATTAAATTTCTGATAAGCTACTCTACAAGGGGGTGAAAAAGTAATATTATGGGAAAAAACAAACTTGTGCATTTATTAAATCATAAATACAAAATATTAGGTCCATTTCTAAGATTCACAACTGTATACCTACTATACCTTCCTTATAATATTTCACATTAGAATAATTTCTATTTCATTAAATAAAATTGCTTGAAAATACTATAGTAGAAAGTTTTTATGTAATTACGTAAAACTATTTTAAAAAATCAAACTAAATTACATTTAAAATGTGTACTAGTTGACTATCATATTAATGTTACGTAGGAGCTGTGGTGTTAATAAATTTTACGTAAAAATATTTTCGAAGTTCTATCGGAAATCAACCAGATTAATTAAAACGGAATTCATTACGGTAACTTTCAACGCGCGATATTCCCCTTCAAAATGCCGAATTAATAAAAAAAAACGCCGTTAAGCACGCGAGTTTAAGTAAATTACTGAAAAATTTTTATATAAAACGATTGTGCGCAAATACATTCTTGGCAACGAAATTCATAAAGTAATTTTATTTATAAGCACATGAACTACTATCACTATCGAATATAAAACACAATAAGTTACATTACAAAAACACCGAGTAAGTTCTTATGGAATTCGTCTTAGATTTACGATCCGGTAACACTACGGTCGACTTAACGGAAAAACGTCATTACCAGTTGTAATTCCTTGCGTCGTCCAGGGCCGAACCTTCATGCAGTGCAAGTACCACCTTCCGATCATGACCGGTCCTTCGAAAGAACTACACGTCCGCACAGGAAATACACGTTACGCCGCGACACGAAACCGCGAGAAGTGACGCCCTCTACCGACAAAAATTTCTCGACACGAAGTTAGGTAAAATTCCATTTAAACATGCCACTAAATATTATGGCCAATTTATTTTAAACCATGTTTTACAGAAGTTTTATTAGAATGCCTTGCACCCTCAGTACTTAAACACCTTAGTAAAAACTAAATATTTTAGCATTCGACAAAGAAACGCACTTTTACAGAAATTGACATGCTTGTGGCTTTATTGTTTCAACAATATTACAAAATGGCACTCAACACCTTTCCTTCGGAATTCTTTCCTATGGCATTTGTGCCACAATAACCAAAAGTTCAAAAATAAGATTATCACACGAAACAAAGGAATAGACATCATACTTAATGGAAAATTTAGTTTTAGATGGCAATTTGCCTTAGTTGAATATTTTCTATTAAATTGTGTGCCAACAACAGCCACAAGGTCAAACTTATATGGTTGCCAAGGTGCAGTTGGTACAAAAGGATCCAGCAGGCCCTTTTGTAGGGTTTCTGCTAGTTATTTCTTCTTTTGAGCTTTCTCGGCAGCTTTGGTCACCTTGCCACCAGAGACGTCCTTGGTCTTCACTGCCTTGATTACTCCTACAGCTACTGTTTGCCTCATGTCACGGACAGCAAATCTTCCAAGAGGTGGAAATTCGGTAAATGTTTCCACACACATTGGCTTAGTTGGAGCCAATTCAATAATAGCAGCATCGCCAGACTTTATGAATTTAGGATTATCTGGAAATTAAGAATGGTTTTTAGTATTAAGACAGTAAAAAAAATTAAATGTGCAATTAAAATCTCTTATACCTTCTAATTTCTTTCCACTTCGGCGATCACATTTTTCCTTGATTTCCCTGAACTTGCAAGCAATGTGAGCAGTGTGACAATCCAACACTGGAGTGTACCCATTGGAAATTTGGCCAGGGTGGTTTAATACGATAACTTGGGCCGTAAATTCTTCAGTGCATTTGGGAGGGGTATCTTTGCTATCACCACAGACATAGCCACGTCTCAGTTCCTTGACAGCAACATTCTTCACATTAAATCCAACATTATCTCCAGGCACTGCTTCACTGAGAGCTTCATGATGCATTTCTACAGATTTTACTTCAGTGGTTAGATTAACTGGTGCAAAAGTAACAACCATACCAGGTTTCAATACACCAGTTTCAACTCTGCCAACAGGTACTGTACCAATACCTGAAAGAAAAAGAAAAGTTAACAAAAGTCAACTAAAATTACAACAAAATTAAAAAAATAACACAGTACCTCCAATTTTATACACATCTTGCAATGGAAGTCTAAGGGGCTTATCAAGTGGGCGAGTTGGTGGTTCCATAGCATCAAGAGCTTGGAGAAGGGTCTTGCCATCAAGCTTTGTATTTTTTCGTTCAAGGGTCCACCCTTTGTACCATGGCATATTAGTGCTGGGTTCAAGCATATTGTCACCATTCCATCCAGAAATAGGAACAAATGGAACTGTAGCAGGATTGTAGCCTATTTTCTTAATATATGCAGATACTTCCTTTTTAATTTCTTCGAAACGGGATTCACTGAAGGGAGGCTCAGTTGTATCCATCTTGTTAACACCAACTATCATTTGTTTAACACCCAAAGTATAGGCCAAAAGAGCATGCTCACGAGTTTGGCCGTTTTTAGAAATACCAGCTTCAAATTCACCAGTACCAGCAGCAACAATGAGGACAGCACAGTCAGCCTAAGAAAAATAATTTCACGTTTAAGAAAAATAATAAAAAAAAATTTTGAAATTTAGATCAGAATATTCACCTGAGATGTTCCAGTAATCATGTTTTTAATGAAATCACGATGGCCGGGAGCGTCAATAACCGTGATGTAGTATTTTTGAGTTTCGAACTTCCACAACGTAATATCAATGGTGATACCACGTTCACGTTCAGCTTTTAGTTTATCCAAAACCCAAGCATATTTAAAAGAACCTTTGCCCATCTACACAAAAAATTCGATTAGAAATCTTATTTTAAAATTAGCATTCTTACGTAAAAACAAAAATTAAGTACCTCTTGGGCTTCTTTCTCGAATTTTTCAATTGTTCTTTTATCAATACCACCACATTTGTAGATGAGATGGCCGGTAGTAGTAGACTTACCAGAGTCTACGTGACCGATCACGACGATGTTAATATGAGTCTTTTCTTTACCCATGATATTGGTTTAGTTAAGCGTGGAAGAACCTGTAAATTCAAATTTAAAGTTTATTCCCAAATGAGCCAACAACCCTCCAGATGTTTCACCACTTTTAATTAATAAATTTACTTCGGAAAATCAGAAATTTTTTAATTTCCTAAATTAACTTCCAACATTTAATATAGTTGGACAAATAAAACTAAATTTTAGTATTTATCGCAATTATTTCCGAATTAATCCAGAATTGTAGTCGTGGTTCAAAGATGGCGGCCAAGTGATTCGACATGTTGGGCGCCGCATGACAAAAGAATGTTTCTTTAAAATCCAGATCAAATACAAATATTTCAATTATTTTCCTAATATAGAATATTCTTAGGATTAAAAACTATATTTTCAAGTCACATCATATACATTCAGGACAACTTATTAATATTTGATTTCACTTCGAGTATGAAAGACTCTACGCCATTTTCTCGCCCGGCGAAACCTACCTCACGATATTTTCTTGATTTCTTATTTAAATTAATAATTTCTTCCAAAAATATTAACTAAATATTAAACTAAACTATTTATAGTTTTAATTTAAATCTAAAATAACTCGTTAAACTCAAAAATTTTCTAAGATTGCAGTGGATTGAGTGCACTTACCTTCTAACTTCTCAACGTTCGCTAAGCAAAAGAGAATCTGACGCCTCGGATCACGTGTCTTTATAAAGGTTACGGACAGTTGACGTCATCACTGCGGATTGCGCAAATTTTTAATCTTTAAAGANATAGCTTTAGTCAATAATAGATTCTTAGCGATAGTAACTTAACCAATAATGGATAAACTGTTCAAACAGTGGATCATTTGTCGATAATCATCGCGTATAAGAAGTCATTCTCTTCACTAAAAAAGAAAAATGAAAAAGTAACCGAATGTAAGTACATATTTTTCAAAAACTCGATCAATAATTGTTACCTATTGGCATTTACTATTAAATCAACGTAAACTCAATTATAAAATTAAATCTAGTCATTTAAAATTCTAATTAAAAAAAACCAATTAATTTATCTAAATCATCGAAAAATGCAAAATATTATTTTAACGCTGTCTCTACTGCATTTTTGCAGGTAAATTATTATCGAAACCGTAATAAATTTTAAAAATTAAACAGGATTTAAAATTTATTAATATAATTCAGCATATATAATCGACATTTGATACATATTGAATATTTTCATCTTTTATAAGGAAAACCCAAATTATTAGAAATTTATAATTTTAAGAATACGCACACAATTATATATAATTAATGCATAGATGTATAATACCGAAAATATTTACATGTGTATTAATGAGCACATATGGTTTTTTCAGTCTTTGAGCATTAAATCTTAAAGGAAGTAATACCAATTAATTAATTCGATGGCATCTGAGTCATTCATCTCGTACAATATACCACGTGGTATTTTAAAACATTTAAGTTACATTTTTATTAACACTTATGCTATATTAAAAGTGATAGTTTTAGAACAAAGCACTAAGTTATTAGAAATTGGGTAAGATTTACCCTCCGAATGAGGGGGAAAATATAACAAATTATAAAATTTATACTTTATTTTAGAAAATAATTTGTCAATTAGAAAATATAGAATATTTTAGACTTCGTTCTTTGTAGAAATGACTAATCCATTTCATCTGTAAAATAAGATAAAAAATTGATTTGTAGTTGAGCAATATACCTCAAACTTTCAACTCCAATGTTAAGATTAATTAGAAAATTATGATAAAAATAACTATGGATTTCATAATTTTAAGACATTATTTATTGTACTGTACATTTGAATTGATATATATTGAAGCATTGTTACAAAATTTTTAATAACATTAAACAAATTAGTTTAGCTGTAATCTTTAAACTACTTATATTGCAATTTTGATGTTATAAACATAAAAAATAATTTGATGAATAATCATAAAATATTACTACTACTACTAAAAAAATATACAATATGTTCTCAATTATTTTACTATATTGAACTAAATACAACTGTTTTTTTTAATTATAATTTGTATATTTAATGATAATAATTATGTGTGAATATGATTTATAACCAAATGCATTTAAACAAGTGTTTGAATGAATCTTGTGATGAGGCTGAAGAAGGCTCAAAAATATTTATTGCTGTTTTTTCAAGTTGATTTCTTAAGCAATAAAAGATGAATTATGCAAACATTTAGCACTGTTATATACAGAGTGTTCCACTTGAAAATACTCGATTTGTTATAAAAAAAATAAACAGTTAAAGATATATGTTCACCAAAGACTTTATATGAGAGAGAGAGAGAGACCAAATTTCATTGAAATAATTACATCTCTATGTGTGCTCTAACAGTCACAATGACAGCATGAAAATAGTTGGCAATGATGAATTCCTGAAGTTCTCTGACCAAAGTTGCATAAACCATAAGATATAGTTTATGCAATGGTCAGAGAACTTCTAAAGGATTATGTGAATTTTTCATATAGAAAAAAATCGAAAGGGCGATCTAGTATGCCCATCAAGATCTCTTGATTTTGGTGGGCATACTAGACTACAGCCTGCACTTTCTCCTGTGGCAAAGCCATGACTGGACAGTAATGCTCACAATTCAATTTCTGTGCCATCTTGCAGTACAAAAGAAATTTCTATAAAACTTGTTGAGTTTTTTCCACCAAACTTGTTGAGTTTTTTCCACCAGATGCCACTTGTTGCTTTTATATATCTTAAAGCATTCATTTTTTATGGCAAATTAAAATTGCATACTGTCAAGCAGAACACACTGTATTTATAAAATTTGAAATAAGTAGAATTGCAAATACATAAAGAGCTCCACACGTTATATTCACTGAATTCTGAACAAACATCTCGCCAATGTGGAATAGTTGGATAATATACTCATTACTATTACTTAGTATATGTTGTTTCCCATTCCTTGTCAGTATATTGTGCTGATTAAGGAATTATTTATCAACCGGCAAATACCAAATATGTGGAGCAGCCTTAAGAATAATGTTAGTCATCTAAAATAAAATCACAGCAGCTCGAGTTAAGACAACTCAAGCCAACTATTGTTAATGATTTTTAAAGCATTTAATTAATTGCAATGTTAAAAACAGTTTTTTGTGCATTTCAATAATCCATCTCAGAAAATATACAAAAAGACAATGCTATTATTGATTATTCAAATAATCTTTCCTGTATGTTATATTCTCTAGACGTTTTATAAATTAATTTTTAAGATGACCTATTGAGACTTTATACTCAGACTTAGTAAAAAATACTCTTTCTGATCTATTAATACTAATAAGCAAGCAGAAATACAATGAATCTATTTTTGAAATGTCTAAAAAAAATTTTCTCTAAAGAAGGAAATTGTCAGAGTAACCCCAGTAACAATGAAAAAGTTATTACATCCTAAAGCTGGAACTATGTTTTAAACACAAAAATTTACATCTTCCTCTCAATTTCCAGCATTCGGTCTTGGTGTTTAAAAACGAATGTTTTTGGCTACCTGATGCAGACCACTGAATATAGCCAAAAACATTTGTTTTTTAAACAGGGAATGTTGGAAATTGAGAGGAAGATGTAAATTTTTGTGTTTAACAATCAAAAAGTTATGGGATAATTTTTTCATTGTTTTCATAATTTCTTGAAGATTTTTATAACAATAACAATCTTAAAAAACTGCAAAAGAGCAAGTAATTAATATATTTGAAATGTATAACACTAATGGTGACAACCATGTTCTTCTCAAATGACAATAAAAAAAAATTAATCAATGTGTGGCCATCGGCCATAGTTTATATATATATATATTTTTTTTAACTTTAGCTAGGCTCAGTATTTCCTTTGTTCTTTTGTCTTATCTGTTCTAGAACTTTCTCCCTTAATCCCTGTTCCCTCGGGTGACATCACCAATTCTGTGAAACAATGTCAAGAGACAAAAGGAACAACAAGCCCCTGG